ACGGTTCCTGCTGTAGCGCCAGAGGTCCGAACCCTATCTTCAACCACCCAACCAGGCGGCAACCAACTCTCTACTGGCACCACTACACGCCGCCGCGACCTGCTCTCTGCTGGAGACACCGAGTTTTCGGGTCCACAGGATGGCATCGCTGGAGACTCCGTGCTACTGGACACTTTCCGCCGCTCAGATGAGCGGGAAGCTCGGCCGTTCAGTTTCTGGTAATTGGTGTCAGTGAAAGATCCCTCTTTGAGTGGCTGATCGGACGGCGAATCGACAGAATCAGATTCCGGCTGGAACCGTTTAGCCGGAAATTTGGACATGGGAGAGACAGACGGCACAAGCTTTTGAAATGCTTGTTAAGTACCGTACTGGTACTGAGATATCAAATCAAGGTACACCAATCCACCGGTCCAGCCGCACTAGAATAATAATAATCTTCAGTTTCTGCTGTTCTTTCGTGGGCCTAAATACGGGTTGAAAAAGGAGTTCTAGGCCCAACATATTTGGGCTTGAAGGGTATAAATATAAAGTTGCAAAAGTCGGTGTGTGTGGGCTGCTGGGCTGAGGTTATTGATATTATTAAATTTGTTAAGACCGTTAAGTTAAAATTGTAATTTTATTAATTAATATTTTTATTTATAATTAATTTTAATTTATTAAATAATAAATATTAATTATTTTATTAGTTATTTTTAATAATTAAATAAAAGTAAAAATAAAAATATGATTATTTTTATGACTTTAATAAATTTAACAAATTTAATTGTGATTATTACCGTTTCTGCCTTGCCCTATGATATCATGGCATATATGTTTGTTGATCAATTTTTGAAGGGTTTTTAACTTAGTTCTGCACTATTTTATATTTAATTCTTATAAAAAATTATATTTCTATTGTTAATATTAAAAAGATGTTTTTAACTGAATATTTGATAAAATTAAAATTAATTTTTAATTTTTTTAATAAAAATCTATTGAAATAATATAATTTTGAGATAATTTTCCTCTTAATTTTAAAAAAATAAAACTGATATGCATTATTTTCTATTATTTTACTACTACAAGAAAAAATTAGAGGCTTTTATTACCAAGAAGCAACCCTCTCCCAAGT